CAGGCAGGGTGGCTCTGCCCCAAACACTGGTGGATACTGACTGTGGCCTATGCCGTGAGGCAACTACAGACCAAGTCAGAGTACCACCACTCTGCCCCTGCACAGCTGATCCTCCACAGAGGGTACGGGTTGGTGGTCAGTAGTCACAGTCAGTCCTTGCAACTGACTGGCCTGGGTGAACCCCTCCATTGACCTGCCAACAGCAATCAAGCCTCAACTACAAGAGGAGGGTAAACTCAGCCCACAAAAAGGGCACACCTTGAATACCCAGCTTGGGTGATAGGGAAGAGGCTGTGCCACTGGACATTATAGGACACCTACTATATTAAGCCATACTACCCAGACAGGGAGTCATAGCAACTCTACCTAACACATAGAAACAAACACAGGGAGGCTGCCAGAATGAGGAGACAAAGAAATATGGCCCAAGTGAAAGAGCATATCAAAACTCCAGATAAGGAACTAAACAAAATGGAGATAAGCAATCTATAAGATGCAGAGTTCAAAACACTTTATAAGGATGCTCAAGGAACTCAGGACCACAACAGTATGAAAAAGATCCAGTCAGAAACAAAGGATACACTGTTTGAAATAAAGAACAATTTACAGGTAAACAACAGTAGAGTGGATGAAGCTGAGAAGCAAATCAATGATTTGGAACATAAGGACACAAAAGACAACCAATCAGAACAACAAGAAGAAACAAGAACCCTCCCAAAAAGGACAGTATAAGCAGCTTGTGGAAAAACTTCTAGTAATCCATATCCACATCATTGGAGTACCAGAAGCAGAAGAGAAAGAGCAAGAAATTGGAAATCTATTTGAAAAAATAATGGAAGAAAAATTCCCTAATTTGGTGAAGGAAATAGGCATGCAAGTCCAGGAAGCACAGAGAATCCCAAACAAAATGGATGCTAAGAGGCCCACTCCAAGACACATCATAATTAAAATGCTAAAGATTAAAGATAGAGAATATTAAAAGCAGAAAGAGAAAAGAAGTTAGTTACCTACATGGGAGTTCCCATAAGACTGCCAGCTGATTTAAAAAAAAAAAAAACTTTTCAGGCTAGAAGGGTCTGGCAAGAAATATTCAAAGTGATGAAAAGCAGGGACCTACAGCCAAGATTGCACTACCTAGCAAAGCTACCATTTAGAGTGTAAGAGCAAATAAAGACTTCTCCAGACAAGAAAAAGCTGAAGGAGTTCATCATCACCAAACTATTATTATATGAAATGGCATATTATATTATATGAAACATTATATGAACTTATTTAAGAAAAAGAAGAGGATCAAAACTATGAACAGTAAAAACATTGATCAACAGTTGAATCTAACAAACAAACTAAACACACAAGAAGAACAGAGACAGAATCATGGATCCTGATAGTGTTGATGGTTGCCAGATGGAAGGGAAGTGTGGAGAATGGGTGAAGAGGTAAGGGGATTAAGAAGTATAACGTGGTAGTTACAGAATACCCATGGGGATGTCAAGTACAGTATAGGAAATGGAGTAGTCAAAGAACTTACACGCATGACCTATGGACATGAATAATGGTGTAGGGACTGCTTGAGGGAGTAAGGGGTGCTGGGTGGAGAAGGAAAATTAGAGTAGCAAAATTAATAAAATAATTTTTTACAAAAGAAAGAGAACTAAAAACTGACATTACAGAAATACTAAATGAAGGATTGTAAGAAAATACTATGAACAATTATATGCCAACAAATTAGACAATTTGGATGAAATGGATAGATTCCTAGAAACACATAATCTTCCAAAACTGAATCAGGAAGAATCAGAAAACCTGAATAGAACAATTACAACTAATGAAATTGAAGCAGTAATCCAAAAACTCCTAGCAAACAGAAGTCCTTGACTGAATGGCTTCACAGGTTAATTTTATTAAACATTCAAGGAAAAACTAATGCCTATCCTTCTCAAACTATTTCAAGAAATTCAAGAGAAGACTCTAAGCTCATTTCATAAGGCCAGCATTATTCTAATTCCATAATCAGGTTTTGGCACTACAAAGAAAGAAAATTATAGGCCAATATCCCTGGTAAACATAGATGATAAAATTTTTAGAATGCTAAGATTTTTTCAAATGCTAAAATCTTCAACAAAATATTAGCAACTGGATCCAGCAGTACATACACCATGATCAACTGGGATTTATTCCTGGGATGAAAAGTTAGTGCAATATTAGCAAATCATTAAATGTGATGCATCATATAAACACAATGAAGGGTAAAAATCACATGATCACATCAATCAGTTCACAAAAAGCCCTTGATAAAATCCAGCACTCATTTATGATAAAAACCCCCATCAACATTGGCATTATACCTCAGTATAATAAAGGCCATATATGACTAATCCACAGCCAACATCATACTCAATGGGCAATAACTAAAAACATTTTCCTTGAGAATAGGAACGAGACAGGGATGTCTGCTTTTACCACTCTTATTTAACATAGTACTGGAAGTTCTAGGCACGATAATGAAACAAGATGAAATAAGAGGCATCCAAATTGGAAAGGAGGAAGCAAAATTGTCATTATTTGCAGACAACATGATATCGTAAACAGAAAACCCTAATATTTCAGGATACAAAATTAACATTCAGAAATCAGTGCCATTTCTATAGAGCAATAATGAATTATCAGAAAGTGAGTTAAGAAAACAATCCCATTTATTACTGCAACAAAAAAACAAGGTACCCAGGAATACGTTTAACCAAGGAGTTAAGAGATCTATACTAAGAAAATTATAAGACACTGAAGAAAAAAATACTGAAGAAGATACAAATAAGTGGAAGCATATACTGTGTTTTTGGAGAGGAAAAATTAACATCATTAAAATACCCATACTATCCTAAACAGTCTATAGATTCAACAGAATTCCTATTAAAATACCAATGGCATATCCCACAGATCTAGGACAAATATTCCAAAAATTTATATGGAGCCACAAAAGATCCTGAATAATCTCAGAAATCTTGAGAAAGAAGAACAAAGTTGGGGGTATCACACTACCTGATATCAAACTATACTATAAAGCCATAGTAATCAAAACAGCCTTGTATTGGCATTAGAGCAGGCATAAAGATCAGTGGACCAGATTAGAGAGCACAGAAATAAACCCATGTCTTTATAGTCAATTAGTATTGGACAAAGGAGACAAGAACATACAGTGGGATAAAGACAGCCTTTTCAATAAATGATGTTGGGAAAATTGGACTGATACATGCAAAAACAAAAAACTAGAACACCAATTTATACCATACACAAGAATAAACTCAAAATGGATGGAATACTTAAGTGTAAGTTGCAAAACCATAAAATCCTAGATGAAAACATAGACTGTAAAATTTCAGACATTTCTTGTAGCAATATTTTTGCAGATATATCTCCTCTGGCAAGAGAAGCAAAGGAAAAAAGTAAACAAATAGGACTACATCAAGCTAAAAAGGTTTTGCCCAGCAAAAGACACCATCAATGAAATGGAAAGAGATCCTACTGTATGGGAGAACATATTTGCCAATTATATATCTGATAAGGGGTTAATTTCCAAAATATATAAAGAACTTACACTACTCAACACCAAGAAGGTAAAAAGCCAATTAAACAATGGGCAAAGGATCTGAATAGACACTTCTCCAAAGAGGACATACACATGGCCAATAGACATAAGAAAAGATGCTCAATGTCACTAATCATCAGAGAAATACAAATTAAAACCACAATGAGATATCACATCATACCTGTCAGAATGGCCATCATTAACAAACAAAGTTCAGGCAAAATGTAGAGAAAAGGGAATCCTAGTCTGTTGGTTCCCTTTGAACTATTATTGGTGAGAACGCAGACTGGTGCAGCCACTGTGGAAAACAGTATGGAGTTTCCTCAAAAAAATTAAAAATAGAACTGCCTTTTGACCCAGCAATCGCACTTCTGGGGATATACCTGAAGAGACTTAAAACACTAATTCAAAAGAATGTGTGCAGTCCTATGTTCATAGTGGTGTTATTTAAAATAGCCAAGATCTGGAAAGAGCCCAAGTGCCCATCAGTACAGGAGTGGATAAAAAAAAAAAGCAGTGGTACATTTACACACAGAGATATAAAATAGACACACACAACAATGTGGTGATATACAGAAGGAAAGGGCTGGTGGGGTAGGTGGAGGTAGGCAAAGGGGGGTGGGGGGAAAATGGAGATGGAAAGAGACATCGTTTAGGGTGGTGGACACATGAGGCAGTTTGCAGATGATGTTTGGTTTAGATGTACACTGGAAACCTGTAAGATTTAGTGTACCGGTGTCACCCCAATAAATTCAATTTTTAAAAAAGATAAAAAGACTAAGGCGTGAAGGAGGGATTGAATATAGCAGGTTAAATGGTGTAAGCCTGTGAAATAGTAGAAAACCAGGAGGCTGATATTGGTATTCTTTGCGCATTAGTGGCTTTTTCAGATTACCAGTGATCTTTGATAGTGTTTCAGTTCTTGGAATGGTAACGACTTATCAGAGTAATCATTTGACCCACATACCTCCCCCTGCCTTCCTTCACTATACCTGTTCTGAGAGATTAGTAGATATTTTGGAACTGTTTTTGTTAATGTCTATTGTAATGTAATACAATATTTTTATATGGTTTGCTATTATTAGCATTTAGTGACTTCAAAAATCAGGATAGAGTAATGTGGTTCACTTTTCTTCTAAGGGAAATGTGCTTAGTTGACTTCAAGTTATAGCACACACACAGTTGTGTGTGTCAAAGAACACGGCTTTAAAATATCTTTATATGGTGATTTTTAATTTTAATAGTATGCAAATTAATTTTTCTTTTACTATATACTTGATTTTTAAAAGAACCTGGTCATAAGTTAAGGATTTAATTTCTCAATTTCATAGTCATCATTCTCTCATATCACTTTAAAAATCTGAAATGAAGTTTTAGAATAATCTTTGTAAAAAGAAAAATTGTTTTTTTCTTTCAGATAAATTAAAGATTATTCATCAAGCACATAAATCAAAGGTATGTTTCATATATACAGTGAGTGTCTGGCACATAGCATATAATGTTGGTTGACTTAGTGAATAAATGAAAACATTTACTTCTAAAATATTTTTATCATCAGTAAGTTTTTTATTTCGTAAATACCCTTTCTGCAGCATTAAAGAAAATTCTAAATCATAACCCTGTTTAGTAGATCCTTTAAAAAGTGTTAATTTTTTTAAAAGGATACATGTAATATATCAAGCAAATATGTAACATAAAATAAACTTAAAACTTTGTAAATTCTGGTGACACATAAAAGAAGCCACTTACCTGACAAACCAGTTTCTTTCATTTTCTTAATACTATATGGAAAGAAAGGAGCCAAAAGCAAATAAAAATAATCTGCTTTTTCTGACTTGACTCTCATGTTGTGTAAGAGAAGGCCCAGGACTGTGGCTCTGGGGAGCAAACCTTCTAGCACCACAGAAGGTATGGCCTGTAATCCTAATGAACGTTGTCTTACCTGCCCCAAAGAGAACTGTTTATGTGTATATTATATGTTTACATTTCTGTTTCATTACTTTTTCAGAGTAATTTTTTTATGAAGTCACAATCAAAGGTTTGCTTCTTACACAGGTAGACTAGAGTGATCCTTTTTCTTGAATGTCAATGACCCTTACATTCACTCCTAATTATAGTAGTAATCTTACTCTTATACAAACTGCTCAAGGACAAAAGCAGGTCTTATTATTCTTCATAGCACCAACACTTAGTACAGTGTCTCATTCATAGGAATGTTTCCATAACAACTTTTGAATGAAGTATTTATTAATGAATTCACTTAGGTTATTCCCTTCTCTGGTCCTCCATAAATTCAATCACCTTTCAAATAAATATATACCAGAGATTATAAAGAAAATAGCATGAGGGTATGTATGTTGACTGTGAACTTGTAACTTAAAAAAGACTTTTCCGTGTAATTTTTCCTCCTGTAATTTGAAACAACACATTTATCCTCTTATTATTCTGGAGGCCAGAAGTCTGAAATCAGTTTCAATGAGCTAAAATCAAGGTATTGGCAGGGGTGGTCCTTTCTAATAACTTTATGTTTATATATATACCAAGAATTGCATATTTTAACAGAATCCATTGTCAGATTTTTAAAATTTAATGCTCACATATGCCTGGGGCTATGGTTTGGAATCTGTACTTTGTATGGATGCTAGAACTTCTCTCTATTGTACCTGGCCACAGACTCCAGCCATTTTCTCTTCTCCAGGCCAGAAATATTTACAGCGTCATCTTTAAACTGTGGAGAATAGGAAGCATGGTTTTATTGTAGAAGGGTGTGTGTGTGTGTGTGTGTGTGTGTGTGTGTGTGTGTGTGTAGTTAAAACTAAACAATATGCTCTTTGAAAAGGCCCTCCAGGATATCTAGGTTCAAGCAGAGTACCTCATGACCATGATCTCATTTAAAATGTGTCCTGAAAGTAATCTAGAATTTTTAAAAATAAAAGATGTTAACTGTTCCATAACAAACTTACCAACATAAGCTAACAACAATGAGCTAAGTATCACAAAACAAAAGGAAGAGAGAGAAAGAAATAGAAAAGAAAAAGAAAGGAAGCAATGGTTGTGGAGTCATGCCATTCTTCATTTTTACTTCATTAAGCTTGTTCATTTGCTTATATTTTTTAAAAATGATAATAAATAAATATATTGTTCCTTTATCCTAATGAAGACCTAGTTCAATATATTCAAATAATCAATATTATGACATTTGCTTAAAAACCAGGAAATTTTCTTCTTGTGGTTGGAAATATATTAGAATTGTTTCATATATTTAAATGTGTTTTATCCTGGCAGGTTAGAGTTGTATAACTAGGGCTTATTTTTCCAGTTGAACTATGTATTTATTTAAAGAGGGGTTCTCAAAACAAATTAAGTTACTTAGACTGTTTCTGGAATCAGAATTAATAAACTTTTTTAGGACTTCCGCCAAGATGGAGGTGTAGGTGGAAACACTGTGCCTTCTCTCACAACCAAGTTTAAAAACAACAAAGTTTTAGCAACAAAAATGCAGCCAAACCACAGAAAATTGAACTATACGGAAGTCTGACAACAACGAACCCTTCAGCCAAACCGGTAAGGGGCAGAGCCAGAAGCAGAGTGGGGTCGGGCTGGAAAGATCCACCAGACCAACCAGCGCGTGACCCAGGCAGGCAGGCAGGCAGTGGGCGGATCCCAGGTGTGGAGTAGCACACCTGGGGTAGCAGCGGGTGGACCCACTGAGGGCACAAGGTGGCAGACCCACTGAGGGCACGTGCAGATAACCAGTGAAAGAGCGACCAGTGAGACTGAGACAGACTGCGCGGAGGCCCCAGTGGTGGGAAGCAGCAGAGGGGACCTCTATTGCTCCCTCTATGACCCCGCCCCCACATATAGCATCACAACCCAGCAACCTGGGTGGCCCCGCCCTGGTGAACACCTGAGGCTCCACCGCTCTTACCTAACAGGTGCAAACACAGCAAAACATTATGGCTCAAGAACAGCTCAAAACCCCAGAGCCAATAACTCTAAGTGATGAAGAAATAGCCAAACTTTCAGATGCACAGCTCAAAACACTGGTGATTAGGATGCTCATAGAACTGGTTGATTTTAGTCAAAAATTAGAGGAACATATGAAGGCTAAACTAATTGAAATGAAGAGAAACGCACAGGAAACCAATAGTGATGGAAAGGAAACTGGGACTCAAATCAAGGGAGTGGACCAGAAGGAAGAAAAAAATGACAAAACAGAAAAGCATGAAGAAACAAGAATTCAAAAAAAAATGAGGAGAGGCTTAGGAACCTCGAGGACATCTTTAAACGCTCCAACATCCGAATTATAGGGATACCAGAAGGGGAAGAAGAGCAGCCACCAGTGGAAAATTCATTTGAACAAATAATTAAGAACTTCCCCAATCTGGCAAAGGAAATAGACTTCCAGGAAATCCAGGAAGCTCAGAGAGTCCCAAAGAAGTTGGACCCAAGAAGGAACACACCAAGGCACATCATAATTACATTACCCAAGATTAAAATGAAGAAGAGAATCCTAGAAGCAGCAAGAGATAAGGGGATAGTCACCTACAAAGGAGTTCCCATCAGACTGTCAGCTGATTTCTCAAAAGAGACCTTACAGGCAAGAAGGGGCTGGAAAGAAGTATTCCAAGTCATGAAATCCAAGGACCTACATTCAAGATTGATTTATCCAGCAAAGCTTTCATTTAGAATGGAAGGGCAGATAAAGTCCTTCTCAGATAAGATCAAATTCAAGGAGTTCATCATCACCAAGCCATTATTATATGAAATGTTAAAGGAACTTACCTAAGAAAAAGAAGATAAAAAAGATGAACAGTGAAAGGACAGCAAACTCACAGTTATTAATAACCACACCTAAAACAAAAGCAAACTAAGAGGACACCTAGATGAGGAGCAGAACCATAGAAATGAAGATCACATGGAGTGTTAGCAACAGGGGAATGGGAGAAGGAGAAGGGGGAAGAAGGTACAGAAAATAAGTAGCATAGATGGTAGGTAGAAAATAGATAGGGGAGGGCAAGAATGGTATGGGAAATATAGAATCTAAAGAACTTGAGACATGTGGTCATAAACTAAAGGGGGGGAATGGTGGAGGAGGCGGTGTGAAGGGTGGAGGGGAATGAAGGGGGAATAGAACAACTGTTATGGTATAATAAATAAAGTATATTTTTTAAAAAAGTTTATGAAGGGAAGAACTCTGAAATAAACTTTATATGAAATGCACTAGATCTTTAAGAAGAAAACCTTGAGATGTCAGTAATGGTATTTAGTTGTCCAGGCTGATTGAACTGAACACCTGAAGATATGTACATTTTATTTATGTGATATTTTACCTCAATTTAATTTTTTTAAAAAGTATAACATTTGAAGAGGGGTCCAAAATAAGACTTAAATAGAAATGCTTAGGATATTTTGGGGGTGAATATGCAGTATGAAGCTGTTAGGTCTTTATTCATTTACAAATTTAATGCCACCCCAACAAAACCCTAACAGCAGTTTCATATATATGAATATTCATATATACATAAATGTATGAATATATACTAAGCTGATTATAAAACTAATATGTAAAATATAAATAATGAAGAATAGTTAGGAAAATAAGAGAAATGAGTGGCTATAGCATAAATTTGACATACTGTAAAACTATAATAATTAAAACAGTGTGGTGCTGTTATATGAACTGTTAGTTTCATAGCATAAAATTGAAATTCCAACAATGGACCAAATATATATGGGAAGTTAGTTTAGAGAAAATATGGCATTTCAAATCTATGGAGGATTTAGTAAATGTTATTGGGACAACTGTGCAGACATCTAGAAAATGGTTAAGTTTAATCCAAATCCTTTTCTTTATACTGAAATAAATACCCATTGGGTTAATGGCTTAAATGGAAAATGAAGCCCGTACATGTGGACAGAGATGAAACAGATGGAACAGGAGTGGGTGATTTGTCCCAGCTGGGTGATGGGTGCATGGAGGGTTCATTGTACTGTTCTCTACATTGCATGTTTGATATTTCTCCTAATTAAAAATTTAAAGAATTAAATTAATTAAAATACTTGAAGTAAACATGGAATTTTAAAAGTAATTTTTGAGTGAAGGTCTTTCTAAGTAAGATAGAATACCCAAAAACCATAAGAAGAATTTTATTTTATTAATTATTTACTCAAAAACCATTCAGCGCTTCTATTTAGAAATGCTACAGAAAAATCAAAGAACAAAGGGAAACTGAGGGAAAATTTTCTGACTTATGGAAAAGGCCTAATTTTTTTAGTATATAATGGTACTAAATATAATATGTATATTTAGTATATAATGATTTTCTACAATCCTATTTAAAAATTATCCTACAAGTTAATTAAAAAGCAGAAAATATTCAGACTTTACCCATAATAAAATAAATACAAATGAAAACTACATTTAATTTATATCTATTAAGTTGGCAAAGATCAGAAGGTTTTGATAATATAATGTGTCAGCAAGGATGTGGTAGTGTTCATGTAAATTGGTACAATTGTCTGGAGAGTAACTTAACAAATTAAAGTTTGTCAAAATAAAAATTTTCAAAATAAAAGTTTCCAGTACTCTCTGACCGAACATTTCTACTTCCAGGATTTATCTTACAGATAAAATGTGTACATACATGCACAGGGATATTTATTGCAGGTTTGTTTGTGGTAACAAGAGATTGCTAACCTAAATGCCATCAATGGGGACTTTGTGTGTGTCTGTGTGTTTCTTCAATGGAATGTGCTGCAGTCTTGATAAATTATGAGGTAGCTCTTAAACGGATTTTGAAATGTTTTAAGCTATATTTTAGGGGAAAAAAGTAAAGTGTGAGAACACATCATGTGATATGCTAGTATTTACTTGACATTTACATGCACATACATCTATGCCTACATGTACACACATGCAAGACAGTCTCTGTGCGGCACACAGGAATTAGTACCAGTTCTGTGGAGAAGTGCCATGGAGCTGGTGGATAGGGGAGACTTATTTTCACTCTGTCCATATATGCTTAGAGAATTGTATGTATTATGAGTATGTGTTACCTATTCTAAAATGGCTTTTTAATAAAGTTTTTTTTCTTTTTTTGATCTGTGTGTTCTGGAGGTCAAGCCTCTGTGCTCTCTTGTGAGGGAGGTTGTGGCCTGTGGAGCCTGGCTTCTAGCTTTTCTTTGGCTGCTGAGAGGCCTTCTGTCGATGCTGCCTCTCAGCCACCTTCTAGAAATAGAATATGTTGCTGCCCAGCTGCATTCTGGCTGACAAGTGATACTGTTTATACAACTAGTGGTCACCTCTGTATGCTTTTTAGGGGCAGATGTCAACTCAAAATTTTCTCCTATATTTAGGACTTTAAATTGGATTTGTAAATATTATTGGAGACCAGACTCATCCACCACCACCCCAAGTCACACAGAGAAATGTGACAGTTAATATGACTTGGGATCAAGTGTTTATTTCATTTTATTTTTTAATTTATTTTAAAAATTTAATTATTGTTCAAGTACAGTTTTCTGTCTTTTACTCCCATCCCAGCCCACCTCCCCAGTGCTCCCCACCTCCCTCCCATTTCCACCCCTGTTAGTTTTTGTCCATGTGTTCTTTATACTTGTTCCTGTGAATCCTTCCCCTTTTCCCCTGAAATTCCCTCCCCTCTCCCCTCTGGTCCCTGTGAGCCTGTTCTGTATTTCAGGGTCTTTTGCTATATTTTGCTTGCTTGTTTGTTTTGTTGTTTAGGTTCCTGTTAAAGGTAAGATCATATGGTATTTGTTTTTCAATGCCTGGCTTATTTCACTCAGCATAATGCTTTCCACTTCCATCCATGCTGTTGCAAAGGGTAGGAGCTCCTTCTTTCTTTCTGCTGCATAGAATTCCATTGTGTAAATGTACCATAGTTTTTGAATCCATTCATTTACCGATGGGCACCTAGGTTGTTTCCAACACTTGGCTATTGTAAATTGTGCTGCTATGGTGTGTATAGGTTCTTTTGGATTGGTGTTTCAGGGTTCCAAGAATATAATCCTAGCAGTGGAATTGCTTGGTCAAAAGGCAGATCCATTTTTATTTTTCTGAGAAAATTCCATACTGTTTTCCATAGTGGTTGTACCAGTTTGAAATCCCACCAACAGCGAACTAGGGTCCCCTTTTCCCCACAACCTCTCCAACATTTACTGTTTTTTGCTTTGTTTATGATAGCCATTCTGACCAGTGTAAAGTGGTATCTCATTGTGGTATTAATTTGCATCTCTCTGATAGCTAGCGATATTGAGCATCTTTTCATGTGTCTCTGGATCCTCAGTATGTCCTCCTTGGAGGGGATCAAGTGTTTAATTAGCTAAGGTTTAATTATCTCGATAGCTTTGGCCATCAAGGTAAACTTGTATCTCTCAGAAGTCAAACGTGTCAGAGCTCAGACCTTGGTTCCATGGCTGACCAGCCATGTACTCTCGGCCTGTTTCTCAGCCTTTCTGATTTGTCCTGGAATAATGTGAGAATGAGATGATGGTGATGATGATGATGATGATGATGATGATGATGATGCCGGCGGAAGTAGCGGCAACAAGAAAACACTTAAGAGCTAACAGAGTTCCTTTTTAAAATATAGTTTATTGATTATGCTATTATAGTTGTCCCATTTTTTCTCCCCTGTATTCCCCTCCCCTCTGCACTGAGCCCCCCAACATTCCCCCCTCCTTTTAGTTCATGTCCATGGGTCATACATATAAGTTCTTTGGCTTCTCCATTTCCTATACTATTCTTAACCTCCCCCTATTTTGTACCTACCATTTATGCATCTTATTCCCTGCACCTTTTCCCCCATTCTCCTCCACCTCCCCACTGATGACCCTTTATGTGATCTCCATTTCTGTGATTCTGTTCCTGTTGTAGTTGTTTGCTTAGTTTGTTTTTATTTATTTATTTGGTTCAATTGTTGATAGTTTTGTGTTTGTTGTCATTTTACTGTTCATAGTTTTGATCCTCTTCTTTTTCTTAGATAAGTCCCTTTAACATTTTGTATAATAAGGGCTTGGTGATGATGAACTCCTTGAATTTGACTTTATCTGAGAAGCACTTGATCTGCCCTTCCATTCTAAAGAAAGCTTTGCTGGATACAGCAATATTGGATGTAGGTCCTTGCCTTTCATGACTTGGAATACTTCTTTCCAGCCCCTTCTTGGCTGCAAGGTCTCTTTTGAGAAATCAGCTGAGAGTTATGGGAACTCCTTTGTAGGTAACTGTCTCCTTTTCTCTTGCTGTTTTTAAGATTCTCTCCTTCTCTTTTATCTTGGCTAATGTAATTATGATGCACCTTGGTGTGTTCCTTTTTGGGTCCACCTTCTTTGGGACTCTCTGAGCTTCCTGGACTTCCTGGAAGTCTATTTCCTTCGCCAGATTGGGGAAGTTCTCCGCCTTCATTATTTTTTCAAAAAAGTTTTCAGTTTCTTGCTCTTCCTCTTCTTCTTCTGGCATCCCTATGATTTGGATATCGAAATGTTTAAAGTTGAACCTGGAGGTTCCTAAACCTCTCCTCATTTGGGGGTTTGTTTTTGAATTCTTGTTTCTTCATTCTGTTCTGGTTGAATGTTTATTTCTACCTTCTCCAAATGTTGATTTGAGTTCCGTTTTCCTTCCCATCACTGTTGGTTCCCTATACATTTTCCTTTATTTCACTTTTCATTGCTTTCACTTTTTCCTCTATTTTGTATTTGTACTCAATAATTTCTGTGAGCATCCTGATTACCAGTGTTTTGAAGTGTGCATCTGATAGGTTGGCTATCTCTTCATTGCTTAGTTGTATTTTTTTGGAGCTTTGACCTGTTTTTTCATTTGGGCAATATTTCTTTGTCTTGGTGCACCTGTCGTGTTGTAAGGGGTGGAGCCTTAGGTGGTCACCAGAGCCGTGCAGCCCACTTCCACCATTGTGGTACTGTATATTGGGGAGGGTTCTGAAAGGGAACAGTGCCACTTGCTCAGCTCTTGGCTGGCTTTCAGTTACTTCCCTTGCTTCCCACAAGCAAATGGGCTTCTCTGATACTGATTCCTGGGTATGTGGGCTTGTGTATATTCTAGGATCCTGTGGGTCTCTCCAACAAACTGTCCTGTGAGGCTGGGAGTTTATTCTGCCACCGCAATCCCTGCAGATTTTTACAGCCAGAGTTTTTGAGGCTCTATTTCCCCATGCTGGAACCCTGGGTTTTGCAGTCTGTCTTGCTCTCCAGTTGTTCCACACTAGTTTATCTGCATGCAAATGTGGGACTGCCACGTCCACCAGTTGTTGCCTCAGCACTCAGCCTCTCTGCCCCAGCTGCCCATCTCTGCCCCTCCTACCAGTCTGGATGAATGTTTCTGCTTTAATTCTTTGGTTGTCAGACTTTCATACAGTTGGGTTTTCTGGCAGTTGTGGCTGTTTTTTGTTTTTAAATTTTTTTGTTTTCCTTCTTTTGATTGTGCGAGGAGGCAAAATATATCTACCTCCACCTCCATCTTCGCCAGACATTCCCAGAGTTCTTGCTATGTGACTGATACTTCATCTCATTTCATCCTCACCACAAAGCAATAGAGAAGATGTATTCTTTTCCCCATTTTTTTTACAGATAAGGAAACTGGTCTAAGAGAGGCTATGTAGTTTGTTGAGAGCATACATCTGGACATTGGTGGAGCCTGAATTTTAACCCAGCTTGAGCTCCAAAGCTCTGTGCTACAGCACTGTCCCCCTAGTGCTTTTCACAGTGTGTGTGCTTTGTAAATACTCACTATCTGTTCACTTCTCTCCTTACAATGATGTGAGTAGAATATGGCTTGATTATTGCTATGACCTGAAGTAACACTTCTGTGTCTCTGAGAAATCTTACCAAATATGAAGCACGTAGAAGTACTGATAAAGTGCAGATTTTCTTTCTTTCTAGACAAATGAAATTGTGATGAGTTTGGAAGATGACGACAGACTCTTATTGAAAGAAGACAGTACTCTGAAAGCAGCTGGAATTGGTAAGAACAAGTGCTGTGCAATGCCCACAAGGTGCTGGGCTGTGTGGGATCGCCTGTCTGATTAGATTTGGATAACTCACCACAAATTAAATGCTACCCTTGGTGCCCTTCACACTCCCTGATAATTATTCAGAGGAGAAGGACAGGGATGATATACATTCAGACCATTTGACTGAGGGCAGTGGTTATCTGCTCTCTAAATGTTCTGAATGCAGATAGTTCTTTTTGGAAGGTATGCTCAGAATTCTACTGAGGGTTATTTTAAGTAATTGAGAGGTTATTACTCAATAACCTGCTTACTCTTATCAGCATCATTTGAACTGATGGTTTGAGAGACCCAGTAGAACTGATGTGGAATGATGAAGTGAGATGTTGTTTGTAGAATATGCAGCATGGTTTCTGATACTTGTCAGAGTCACTCAGGGCCAACCAAGCCATGGGATTTCAAATAGGAGACTAGTGTGGAAAGTTGAAAAATGGACTGATTTAGCATTTCACCCTGACAAAGGCATGTAGTTCTAGTTTAAAGAATACTATGTTACATATTTTGTGACCATTAGAGGTCACTCTAATTCTACTGATATCTACACTTAAAGATTATTTGGCCACAGGAGTGAAGATTTTAAGAGGTGTGAGCTGGTGAAGGAAGGCATTGTACCTCTGACAGAGCTTTGTGTTCAGTGACTCTAAAGAAGCATCATGAGTCACACTTCATAATTATTTATATGCACTGGTTGAGGAGCACTCTTAGTGAGGTCCAGTGAGGAAGACTTACATTTTTTTTGACAGGTGTTGAGTTATTTTAGTCATAAATGTCACTTATTCACTTTTGAGTGTTACATGTGGCTAAAGTGAGTTCCCAATGCATCTTACAATTTAAATAGGATTTTTAAATAGCATGTTATGAAATCTTAGACTTGTTTTCGATGTCTACAGTATTTCCTAGATTAATGTCTTTCCATGTTCTGAATATACAAGAATGACCATATATATATAAGATTGATTGCTATTATTTGAAAAAAACAATTTTTTACTTTAGCATTTATTTCTTCAAATGCTATTATGTTATTATAGCAGGTGGCACCTGTATTATAGAGGCAGATGGCCCCTAAGAGCATAAAGCTATAAAGAATGTAGCAGACTAGTATTGATGTAGGAATTGACAGATCTGTGGATAAGACTGGAAAATTCAAAAACAAACTAAAACAAGTAAGATTTTACAGGTTGATCAATTTTTGGCAACTCACATAAGTGGGGAAATAATAAATTAGCCAGAATATGATGTCAGGCTCATTGTCAAAGCATTTGGGAAAATAAAATTAAAAATTTTTATCTCAGTCTTTATTCCATAATAAATTCTAGATGGATTAAGTGTTATAATATAAAGTTAAAGATGTAGCCCAATAGTTTTATAATCTTGGGGAGCGGAAGAGTTCTCTAAATATAACCATGAAGTCAGAGCCCCATGAAGGGCTTCCGTGAAGTGGGGAGAAATGAAAGAGTTGACCATATTTAAAAACAATATGAACAGAGTCAAAGGAGAAGCAATAAACTATGACAAAGTATTTGTACCATAATGATTCTGTTGTATGTAGTATGCTGTAGTATACCAGTCTAGTGGCCAGGAATTAGAGCCTGGAGCCAGAGTGCTTGTGTTCACCACCTGATCTGCCACTTACTGTTTGAGTGACCTTGGACCAGCAATAATTATGACTTGCAGACATGAAGAATGTGGCAATGTTGGGAAATGGATACTCTTCCAAACTGTTGTTGGGAGTGTGCATTACCTGTAACTTTCTGTTGGTCAGTTTGACCAATAAGACTGCCTCAGACTTAAAGTGCTGTCATGTCTGTCACCAAGCCAACAGAAGCTGCTTCCTCAAGCTCTCTAACTCCTGCGCGGTGGTGATGTATCTTTAGAGAGGTGACAGTGTCTTCTCTCACCTTCCCTGTGTGTGAATCACTGATGTACAACTTTAGTTATTGACTGGAAATACAATACATTGTGTGATACCTTTATTGTTTAAAAATGTATATATTGACAGGTCTGTATGTGTATATGGAAAAAAGATCATTTGACAACATTATAGAAATGGTTTCTCTGGGAGGTGGTATTGCTAAACATTGATTTTTTTCTTTCTTCTCCATATTACTTAATTCTTATAAATTAAATTTTTATATAGTTTACATATACATTAAATATATTACTTGTAAAGAATAAAGTCCTAAAATTGGAGAAAATTGATCTGAATGAAGGCTCTGCATTTTACTTGCTTTGTGACCTCTCGGTAAGCCATTCAACCTCTCCAAACTTAGATTTCTATGAAACAAAACAAATAATTAATCTGACTTGAGAGGGCTGTCTGAGGGATGAGTAGAAGAATGAAAGCATCTGGAGGAATGCATGTAAAGGCCCTCAAACATACTTTATTTAAAAACCTTTTTGGAGAAGGCAATTGGAAAATGTTTTGAATAAATTTAAATATTGAGTTGTTGCTTTGTTATTGATTTCAAATTTCTGTACTTAACCACTTGTAAAGGTGAGAATCAAATCCATCTTTTTTGTCTTTCTTGTTTCCAGGTGATAGGCCTTTGTTCAGAATCAGACACCTTTCATGAGTTCTCCACTAGTTTCAGGGCCGTACAAGAGCTTCCATTGCCCTCCTGCCTGGCAAGCCTGCAACCCTGGTGGGGGCAGCTTCAGTCAGTGCCCAGACAGTTCGCTCTTCTGCACAGTCCTCTCTGTCGCCTAGAGCAGGGTTGGTGTACCCTGGAGAACAAGCCACACTTTCACAGAGGAAGGAGGTCTCTGGGGAGCTACAGGAAATTCTGAGTGGGAGTAGAGTTGTAAAGATGGTCCTTGAATTGTGTGATTTTTCCCAGGGAATTTGCCCTCCCTTGGTGCCATGTCTGGTTGGGTTTTTAAGAGGTTTGAGAGAAAAATTCCAATTCATCACTCTCCCTTGTTACCACTTGATCTTGCTGTGGAACTGTCACTCTGCTATCAGTGCCAGTTGCCATGGGAATAATGCCACTGTAACAAATTTATCATTATGACTTTTCTGCAGCATTCATGAAAGGAAAAAGAAAGACTGTGAAGGGGAAAGTTAAGGGAACAAACTTGTTTGAAGATTTCTTTTATCACAGAGAAATTCTCCAGTTCCTACTCTGGCCTTTAATCTGCATTGCAGATCCCAATTGTATATTCTGGCTGACTACGGAGGAAGTTTTTGTTTGTGGACTTAGTGCTAAAATGCATAAGTAAAAAGATTTGCTTTGTGGAAGGAAGAAGAAGGCTTTACCTAGAATTGTTACTTAGAATTTACAGAATTTTACCCTGTTTTTTAACAGTTGTAATTTTATGGATTAATTCCCCTAAGTAATAAATTTGCCTGTAAGGTTTTTCTGGTGATATTTTACCTTTTGTTTTGCTATATTCTACAACTATTATATCTTTTGAATCCTCTCTGGTTTAGAAAAGAAATTGTGTCAGGGAAACTCTTTTAAAGCAGGTTGTGTTTTATTGGAAAATTTTAAAGCAAGACATAATGGGCCATACCGTAAGTGCTGATCTGGGGGAAGAGTTCATGTCAAGCCAGATCCTGTAATAATTCCAAAACTCTCTTGTGCTTTGGTTTCATTTTGTGTGTCACTGCTGTCGTCTGCCCACAGCCAGAGCCCTTTGTGCCTGGCACCTTTGGTTGTCTCCTGCATATAGCAAACAATGTAGGGTGCCTTGCCTCCCATATCTCTATCAGGATCATGTTTGATTTGTATTTCCAGCATGTTAAGGTGGCTGTTCTTAACATCCACATCATAACAGCCATAGCCTGGGACTCAGTAAAGGAGGCAGTAGGTTCAGGGAATAAAATTGGGGATTGCAGAGCAGAGGCCATTGTGAGCCTCCGATAGATTATTCTCTGTTTTTAACCCTCCCCTCGCCATTGTGGAAACCACAGGCACAGGTTCTGTCTGTCAAAGGTCAGATTTGTTTCACTATTTGTTTGCTGCAAACCGGAGTTTGAAATCTCTGTCAGCTGATCTAAAATGGACACTTGGAGCAAATATGAAACAAAAAACCATGGTAGTTGGGAACCTCGTTGCTAGATTGTTGGCCTTCGGTGACAATTTACAAATGTAACTCCTCTGCCAGCAGTTTTGAAATATGTGTAGATTAGGCTTTTATGAAAATTGGAAGGGTGGGATATATTCCTGGAGCAGGAGAGAGGGTGAACTTTGTCTTTTGGGTCTTAGATGTTGCAGAAACCACACCCACCTCTTCCTGCATATTTTTTTTTTGCCAGTAATCTGTAGTTATTTTCACATTACAATCTGCCCTGATCATTAATGGTCCGTACCACAAAGTCAGTGTAGATGTGTCTATCTTTTCTCAGACAGCAGTGCCTGTGCCTCACACTACTCCACTGCTGATAGTATGAGGCTCAGTCTTGGAAACTAGGCAGTGAACCCTGGTCATTTGACCAGTCTATTGAGGTGCTATTTGAGTTTTAAGTATATTGCATTTAATTTTCCTTGAGATTTTACATTTAAAATTGGTTTTTCATATTTTATTTAAAACCATTATTATTTCTTGTTAAATGTGTATGTGTGTGTGTCTGACCTGTTTGGAAACATAAAATTGATTTCATAGCCAAAGTTTGAATGTTCTGCCTTGTGTTCATGCCATTAAACTTGAAAGTCAGAATTAAAATGATCCACAAGTGTATGTGGAGGGCTCTTGCTTCATTTCATTTGATAGTAAGACAAAGGGATGGACTGGCAGCCTGTTTATTGGATTTTTAGATTGTGTGTTCATTGCAGATTCACACGCTAAGGCGCCGAGTGCACTGCTGCCTGCAGCGCTTTTAATTTAGAGTCAGGTGCCCTGGGGGCCAGCGTGAGGCAGACTTCCTGAGGTGCTTTCCCAGCCATTTTAAATAGAATTTGGGAAGCAAGAATTTAAGGGAAAATGGTGGAAAGGGTGATTATGTAGAATTTTGAAAGTCTTTTGTAGTTCATTTTTACTTTAATGGACAACTAAATTTGCAATATAAGTACATGAAATTATTCTCTCATTTTCAACAGAGTTTTACAGGTTTTTAAAAACATTATATTCTATTTCTGTTTGAGGATATTTCTAAAGCTTAAAATCCTTTTTCTACTTTTGAAAATTCATAGTAACTTTTAATTTGTGTTGTTTTTGAATTTACTAGGGATAAAATTTTTATCAACCTGAAATATTTTAGTTTAATTCACTTATCAATCTAGTTTTCCTGAAAAAAAAAAAAAAAGCATTCATCTGAAAGTAAAATGTTTATCTTAGATGATCTTATTTTGCGCCTGTATTGTGAGAGATGGCATAAATACTTTATATGAATAATGAATTGATCTATAAGGTAATTAGACCTACGAGAACCTACTGTCAAAACAAAAATGCTTTGTCTGTCCCTCCTTTATATAGCTTATTCTGAACCTATTAGAACTGTACTGAACAGCTGTATGATATATCAGTTTCTCAAAAGGGGTACAGACAAATGTGAACTACAGTAAGGGAATGTTGTGATTACAGTTAGCGTATGTTGAGTGAAGTGCTGTGTGAGCAAAGCACTATGTAAAGTTCTGTGTATAAATAGCATGTCATAGATAAAACCTTGTGTTGCGATGGTTAAGAACAGGGTGCTTTTGCTCATTCTCCATTAGAAGGATGGTTAGAATTACTTGCAAATTATATAAGTCTACTTTTGGGTTTGCTTCCCTTCAAAAAGTAAACTTCAGGAGAGCTTTATTATATAAAGGATAGATCTCAATATCTTATCTTTGAATATTGGATTTTTTGAAGCCTCTTTTCAACATTTCACTAATTCCAAGTGTGGAGCCTCTTACTCATTCTTTTAAATGCTTTTTTGGGGGGTACAGTTTAACTAAATGTACCCCTCCCCATTGATTTCCAGTTTTTCTCTGTTATATCCTCCCCCTTGCTCTCCAAGGCTCACTGTGATGAGAGTTTGCAATCTGATTTTCATCAAGATTGATCTTCATGTAGTGTTTAATGGACTGGTCTCTGGGTGACTTTATTTTCTTTCAACATTTCTGTAATGAGAATGGGTAATTTACAATTGAGATACATTCATATTCTTAAAACCAGTGAAAACATTTTAAATGAAATATCATGCTAAGTTTTTTATTTTCTTCTCCTGTGGCAAAGTCTAATAATTAGATGAGAGTTGTAAACCAGGTGTTAATCCTTGGCGTCCCTTCTTATTATCCTATTTATTTGGCTTGAAGAGTTTTACTTCTCTGATTTTTGAGGATATGTTAATTGAGTGATCAGTATTCATTACAAATAATCTTGTCTGTTTTATACATTCTGAAGGCGCTTTTGCTCTTTTTGTAAAAGCTAAGCAGACTTTATTAACTTCTGATTTAATTTAAAAAACGAATGTGAAACTTGTTGGCACAACACCTTAAAGAATTGCATGTTTAATAATTGGAAGGCTTTTTCCATCAGCTTTGTCTCCAGTCTGAATTAATAATGTTGCTGACTTATTGTTTTAGAAGACAGAGTCCTTGACCTGCTAGGTTGAAAGAATTGTGACTTCTCTGAACCCTTGTGGGTCCTTTAGCTGTGCTATATCCCCTGTGAATAATTAGAGGTATTTGAAGGTATTACGGTAGAAGCCAATTTGTGTCTTTCACTTTGCATATTGTTGAAGCCTTATGAATTAATCATAAGCAGGCAAAAAATTAACTTCTTCAGACACATATTTTGATGGGTCATGAGGGAGAATGTAAAGTGATCTGTAAAATATTCTACTGATCCTCTGAGTATTAAATTATTATACCTACAGGCTAATTTCAGAGGAAAAAAGAGTTCCTCCTTCAGTAATTGAGTAGCAAATTTTAAAAAAATACACAAAGGTTTGTTATTTTCTAGGACTCTTAAGAGGACTATAAATGAGCAAATTTATGGTTTCCTGAAAGCCAGATTCTTAATTCTTGTTTTTAATTTTTTTGTGTGTATTTTTCTTTTAACATTAAATTATTTGAATTCTAGATTCTTATAACTTCAATTTATACTTCTTGTTGATTTGGTGAAATGTGAAGCCAAAGAAAGAACTCATCTTTCTCACTTTAAGTATCTACAGCACTGAATCAAAGTAATGTGTGTTTCTTATACTTGTTTTAAATCCAGTTTCATATTAAAATAATTTTCAATTTTTCTTTTTTTCAGCCAATGAAACTGAAATTGCATTCTTCTGTGAAGAAGATTATAAGAACTACAAAGCTAATCCCCTTTCATCCTGGTGAAAACCTCATGGGGGCTTCCTTTTTGCATACCTATATTAAGCTCTTTATTCCACTAGTGAGTTTTGAAATTGAGAAATAAACTTTAAAAATTAATCCCAGGCTCTGCTATTTGAGTTAAAAATCTGTGCTGTTTTCTCTCTGCAGGTCTCATTTTTCTTTCTTTTTTTTTTTGTTGTAAAATAATATATTTATTTGACAGAAAAATTTTGGGTTTTTTATAGTGAAATAGTTTTTCAAAAAATCATCATGAAATATTGGTCTTTAGTCATAATGTGTTAGGGGTTATTTTGGTGACCTGCATGTTAGGTTCTTTAAAAAAAGAGTATAAGACTAAAGTGATTCTGTTTATTTTGTATTTTGTTCATAGTTTCTAATTAGAACCACTGTTACTGTCTTTGGCTAGGAGAGATTATAAGTGCTTATGATCTTATAGCTAAGTCTGATTATTATGCTTATCAGTGCCATCTTTTCGCTGATGGTGATATACACCACCATTCATGAAATTGAATTGTGTATATTTTAGGAAGGTTTTCTGATGTAAGAGGATTTCTTCTTTTCTTTTAGTATTTCAGCCTACACAAATAACATTGCTGAAATTTTTTTTAATCGAAATTCTGTTTTCTGACTTATGAAGCAAACTCTAATGGACCAAACAAATCAAACTAATTTGTTTGGAGAGAGAGAAAGCAACAGGATATTTGGACTTCATTGAGAACAAGTCTAAGTCATGGAAGACACTTTCTTCCAAAATGATACTGAAACAGTGTGCAGCCAAGAGGGGGCCCCAAACAGGGATTTGGAATGGGGTCCAGAACTCAGGGTGTCCAGGAAATATTAGAAAGATACAAAGGATGTCCTCACCCCTTCCCACCACAGGTGTGAGTTGGGGGAAGGGACACATGGAGCAGGAACATGCAGGGCTGTTTTGTACAGCCACAGCTTTGTAGCTAACCTCTGGCATGGTCATTTAACATATCTATAGCCTTTAACTGGTTGCATAGATATGTTAAATAGCTCTGGTCATGCTCTGAGCCAGGGGTATAGAAGGGACTTCCACCCAAGATGTAACTGGGGGGCAGGTACCCCGGGTTACAGTGCCTGCGTGAGAACTTGGACAAGATTGGCTCCATCACATGGGGCCACACCTGCTCAGACTCACAATGGCAGCCCAGTAAACTTGGAATAATACAGGAGTGCTGGCAGGTGTAACTGATTGTAGGAGGAGTTGGAAATGGGGGTACAGAGGAAGATTGGCACAGGGATTTAAACCCAGACATGGCAGCCATTGGGAAGAGAACCACGTGGCTTTGCCAGACTGGGGACCCCTGCAGCTTTGGTAGAAGAGGACCATGCAGCTTTGGGGTGCTCCCTTTAGCCATGTGTTCTAGGAAGCAGGAGAGACTTTGCGTGGAAGAAAGGTGAAAGAACTCTTGCCAATAGGCCATGAGAAGGTGCCAGTTGGGTTTGGATTAGCTGGAGATCCTAAATGGTGACGCAGCTGATGGTGCTGACAACCTGAATCACAGACATGTGCTTCTTTTCCTGAGATACGGTACCTGGACTGGGCAGAGGGAGAAGGAAGCACTGTGTGTGTGTGTGGTATCCTAAAGGACTTTGATATTTTGATGAAGACATTAGGTCACTACTTTAAGTCTGTATAGCTTTAAATAAACATTTCCTTTCCTTTGCACAAATCTCTGGCATTGAGAGATGTCTTTCCTCTAGTGGTAGACAAGCGAACCTAGTAGGGGATCCTTTCAGTAATAGTATATCATACCCCTCTTTGGCCCTGTTCTGCAACAGTACTTTCTGTTCCTAAGAATGACTGCCTGCCAGCACCTGAAGAGTAGTGATCTAAAAGGGACCTCTAAGCAGCACATATCTAATCAGAAGTCCTAGAGAGGTCGGTTGGCTCTAGAACTACTCATGAACCCATCATATTGTCATTAGGGCAAATTGATTTCATGATGGTAGAGGATACCTTGAGAAAACCCACTTTAAAAAAACCTCAACTTTGAAACTCTGGTTAACATAATCAGAAAACTTTGTTGAAAGATTTAATAGAACCTATCTTAAAAAGAAACTTTATTTTATTTTTTGTTTCATTCATTAAACTGAATGCACAAATGTTCTAAGCTTCTAGGAAACTAATAAAGAATAAAGTAAGAGATTACAAGATGGCAGCAGAGTAGGTAGAAGCTACACTCACCTCCTCCCAGAACCAAAATGGAATTACAACTAAAATATAGAACAATCAACCTGGATAACCAACTGAAGACTAGCTGAAGGGTGTCTTATAACCAAGGATTTACAGAAGGAGCTATATCAACACTGATAAGAAGTGAGATGGGAAGAAGTCTAGCCTTATTCCCACAGGCAGCAGCTGAGGTTCCAGAGGGCTATCTCAGCTGTGGAGGGTTCCCCCTGAGAAATGTGGGGTTTCAAGCCCAAGCTGACCTCCCCAGCACAATGCACCAGAACCTGGAAGAAGCATCCACATAGCATCTGGCTGTGAAAAGTAGTAGGGTTTCTGTACACCAGGGAGAGACAGGAGTCTGCTAGAAATATAGGTGCCCTCTTAAAGGGCCAGCACATAATTTAATTTCTTTTGCATCCATTCACCCTGGGCTCTGGTGGAGGGAGGGTGGGGCAGACTAGAGTCATGTGAGGAGAGACTGGGTTTTGTGGCTCTGGGTAGAGAGTTGAGGGGAAAACCCCTGAGATCCCGTGCTGAGTCACTTCACTGAACCACAGATGCCATCTTTCTTGGGTGGATCATGCCCCTTTGTGCAACCTCAGCCTGGGGGAAAACAATTGCCTGACCCTCTGGTTTTCCTGTCGGCCCATCTTGCAGAGCTTCTGCCCTGCTAAGGAGAGGGTGTAGCATTTTGGGCAGACTCACAGGTTGTTAGTGACTGAATTAGTGACATAGGAGCTGGGGCCATTCTCCTCCCTTTATTGTGATTCTCACTGACACCTCACTCTCACAGTAGATCCACTAGCTCCACTCTCTAAGCTCCCAGCAGCCCCACCCCCTTGACTCTTGGTGGCACCACCCTGTTGTGGTTTGGGCAGAATCTGGGACAGATTCTCAGTTATGTGGCTCTGGGGCAGGAGCCCCATCCTCCAACTTTCCCTAGACCTGCCTGGCATCTCTCCTTCTCTTGACTCCCATTGGCCCTTCCCTACTGAGATTAGGTTTCTGGCAGAATCTGAGACAAACTAAGTTGTGTGGCTCTAGAACGGGAAATTTTTTCCTTACACACTCAACCACTGCAGAGCCTTCCCTTCATGCTACAAAATCTTGGTATGTTTAGGCCAAATAAATTCTGCTGGCTTCATCTTGACAAATCCCTGAGATTCCCACCCCAAAGGTATGCAAGCATGCAGCAGGTGGCAGCTTAACTTAGTATACCCTGGGACATTTGCTAAATGTCCTCAGACCCAGCACTGGCACCCTGATTGAACCTGTGTAGATCTGGAGAACACTTCTCTCTCTGACAACCTACCTTATGCCACTTAGAGTATCTCGAGAGGCTCTTCCAGTGACTGAGTCTAAGAGACAGCAGGCAGGTGGAGGCAGGTGGAGGTGGACTGCAGGGTTCCTAAGGACTTTTGCTGACCTGCCCCTGGGTCTAGTGCTGGTAAAAGTGGACCTTGGTGCTCTGCTTGGTCATTCTCGTGCACACCCAGGCCCAGCAGAGGCACCCACAAACTGTGTTTCATGATGTAGCTCCAAACATGTTGCCCAGGGCTAGTAACGTGCAGTGTCTGATATGGAACTGCACCATATACCCATTCTAGAGGCCCCAGAAGCAGCACACCCAATGGCCAACTTCAGACAACATCAGAGCAGGATCCAGTTAGCTTCACAAGCAGCATATCCAAAGAGAGATATTGGCAAATACCACCCTGCTGAGGCAGATTGCATCCTGAGTGTTCAGCACCTACACAACAGCTCCTACACTCTAGTAAGGGTTGATCTTCACCGTCAGCCAGCCTGAGGGTAGACCCTATACACAAATGGGCCAATAGCAATCAAGTCTCGATTACAATGGGAGGGACCATATAACCCACACCAGGGACATCCCTGGAGCACCCAGCACAGGTCATCGAGGATACGGTGCCACATAGTTCCATAGGACACCTACTACATCAGGCCACCCCATAAAGACTGGGAGTCATAGCGGATGTAATACATAGAAACAAACAGAGAGGCAGCCAAAGTGGGGGGACAAACATGCTCCAGCCCTGGTGGGTGTGGCTCACTTGGTTGGGGGTCATCCTGCAAAATGAAAGGTCATGGGTTCAATTCCTGGTCAGGGTGTATGCCTGTGTTGTGGGTTCAGTCCCCAGTTAGGGTGCATACAAAATGCAGTTGATTAATGTTTCTCACATCAATGTTTCTCTCCTCTCTTTCCTCCCTTCCCCTCTCTCTAAAATCAATAAGCATATCCTTGAGTGAGGATTTTTAAAAAAGAATACACTGGAAGGAATAAACAGAAGGTTAAATGAAGCAGAGGATCAAATCAGCAATTTGGAAGTCAAGGTAGCAGAACAAGTTAAAGCGTATTTCATTTGTTCATTTTGTGTTTTTATTTTTCCCATTTGTTCCCATTTTATAGACATTCAATTTACACACAAGTTTTTAAAGAAAAATTAAGCATATCTTTACCAGTACATTTTCTTTGTAATGAGCAGTGAAAAAGTATGTACATATATACTTTTATTTTGTTGTGTATTTTTCTTATTAGAAAGTTACATATAGGCTTTTTTTTACTTATAAACACAGATGTGAAAATCAGTAATTGAAATATATTATGACTATAAAGGGCTTTTTACCAGGATTAAAAGATTGGTTTAAAAACTATAGAAAACCTATTGGTATAATTCACAAAATATATAGATTAAAGAAGAAATAATGCGTATCTCAATAGATGGATTTGGTGATACGCAACCCCATAAATGAGTAAAAACTTAGAACAGAATGCCCTCATTTTGATAAATGTTCCCTGTAAAAAAATACTTAATGAAGAGATGTTTAAGCAAACCTGTTAGATAAGACTAAGACAAAATGACCGCTATCACCAGAA